AAGACTAAACCCCAAAACCCCAAAACCCCAAAACCCCGTTAGCATCTGAATTTGAATGATTTTAAAAATAATATTCTAGGAAAGTTTGAAAATTTAATAAATTTTAAAAGCTATTTAAAATGTCCCACTTTATCATTAAGGAAGATGAATAAGAACATGATGAGTAAATTCATAGTATTGGTTAAGTTGCTGATCCATCAATTGAGATTTAATTTGACAGAGAATCAGTTCTTGAAAATTAAACTAGATTATCACAGTGGACATATAAATAATCAGACAGGGAATAAGATGGATAGTATGAGGATGTAAATCTGTCTCATATAAAAAATTAAAATAATTCAGATTTAAATGAGGAGAAAACTAAGATTAAAGATTTGGATATACTTTAGCAATATGAAAATTATGGATCAATCAATTAAAAAGAACAAGAAAAATCTCCTTCAAACTGTGATTAAAATGATTTATAATGTATACTTCAACTAATGTTTAATTTATGATATAGAATCTAATATACATATTTATGAATCAAGAGAGAGACAAGAGTAGAAAATATTGCGTATCGATGGTCAAGATATAATAATTACTAGTAAATTAAAGAAAGATCTAAATACAATATAAGTTGGCTTTAATTTATTTAAAAGTTTCATTGGAATTGGAATTCTGGCAACTCCCTTTACTTACAAATATGTATTAAATTATAATAAACTGAATTAGAATTTTAGGTTGGTGTGCTCGGAGGCAGTATTGGAATGATTATTATAGCAGCATTAACTTTCTATGCAATGCTCTTATAAATATATGTGAAAGAAAAATTAGGGCAAAACTATACTAACTTACCAGATATAGCCTATAAATTATTCGGTCAAATAGGAAAGAATTATTTAGATTTTCTTTTTACGATAAGTCTAGGAACTATTTGTATAGCCTATCTAATATTTATTGGGAAACAAACAGATTAAATTATATGCTTATACTTCCATTAGCGGGATAAATGTGGATATAACACTCAAATAATGATTGCAGCCACTATACTTCTCATGCCTATTTGCTTATAGAAAAGTTTTAAGAATGTTTCTTTCATTAGTGCTTTTGGGAGCTTCACAATTATATTTGGATGTAATAAATTGTTTATTCTAACTTGTGATAGTATCTGTGATCATGTATTACTCAATCAAGAATTTCAATTTAAAAGATGACAGTCATTTTAGTGAGATTAAAACTATTGATTTATCCAATGTACCTTATTTTTTTGGAGTGGCACTATTCAATTTTGATTCTACTCCAATTCTGTTATATCAACAATCGTCAATGAAGTAGCCAGAATTATTTAAAGTAGTGCTAGGAAGAATAATACTTGGTGTGCTTGCAACGGTGATTACTTTTGGAACTATATGCTACTTGGTAATGCTAATCCCAATCATTCTTTGTTGCTTACCAATTTATAGAGTTATGGAAATTTGACTTAGGATGTGATTACTCTAAATATGCCTAAAACAGGAACAACTTATTTAATGAGATTTTTCTATGTTATTTCAATACTAGCTTCAATACCACTATTTTTATTCTCAATTTTTAAAGTTATTGAAAACTGCAACTTATACCGTAGTATATCGCATCATAAAATCCAAAAGGTAAATATTCCTAATATTATTTAGAGTAGTTTATTTTTTATGGCATTCGTTTTTTTATCCTGCTTATTTTTGCGCTCATATCAATAGTAGTTCCTAAGTTAAGCAGTTTCTTAAACTTAACAAGCTCTTGCTTAAGTTCTTTCTCTATTTTTATACTGCCAGTATTCATCGTTAGATTTATTATTTTAGACAATATTATACGAAAAAGCTTATGAGGGGCAAATAAGTTAAAGACAAAAGATTATGCACAAACTTTTGATTGCTTTTGGTATTATAAGTGGAACAATATGCAGTTATTACTCATTTATTGATATGATTTCTGCTTGAAAATTCATTTTATAATATTTCAATTCTTCTCTTTATTCCCCTTAGAGGGGTTTTGGGGTTTTGGGGTTTTGGGGTTTTGGGGTTTTGGGG